GGAGGCGGAGGAGGAGGAGGAGGAGGGGCGCGCATTGACCGCCCATTTCTCGCGCCCCTTGATTCCACGGCCTGCAAGCTCACGCAACTGACGGGGTAGCGCAGCACGGGCTGGTCCCTGCCGGACATGGCCCCCTTGAGGCCGACGGAGCTGCCGTCCTCGGACACCTCGAGCACTTCCTGCTGAGAGGCGCCAGAAGGGGCGACTGGCTCAACTGTGGCCGAGGCTTTCGGCAGTCCTCGGAGGGGGTCTGGCCTCGGGGTGCCTTCTGGCGGCTGCGCCTCGCCGAGAGCGTTCCGCGGGGTAGGTGCCCGAAGCGTCCCGAATGGCCGCCGGAGAGCCGAAGTGTGACCCGAAAGCCTCAGGGCCAACGATAGGGCGGGCACCGGCTCGAGGGGGGGAGACATCGAGACTGTGGGAAAAAACACACACAGCCTGGGGGGGGAGACATCGAGCCTGTGTGTTTTTTCCTACAAGCTTTTTTTCCCCCCCACAGTGTGTGTTTTTTCCTGTGTGTTATTTTTTGTTTGTTTGTTTTTTTTCCCACGAGCTAGAATCGGCGGTACATTGCGGATAGATCAGCGATGGGCCCCCGACAGCGAAACCGCACGCTCCCTGGCAGGATGGGGCGTCCGAGGCCCGATCGGCGATGCAAGGGCGAGTGGGGGTGGATGGCCCCCCCTGAACCCATCCCCGATTTCGGCGTCCCCGACCTGTGTTGTGCCGAGGACGCGTCGCATGCCAGAGTTCCACGCGACAGAGCCTGCTCGGTTGCTGCCGAAGGCACGCCTCAGCGCTGCCTCGTCAGTCGTCACCCTGACGAAATCGCCGACGCGAATGGGCTCCTTGGAGAAAGCGAACTGTTTCAGCAGACCGAGATGGAGAAATAATAATAAAGGTTTAGATGGAAACGAATTTTGCACTCGTGTAAACCGTCAATTTTACCAACGAGGCTTTGCATGCTTGGTCGCTTCAACTGGCGGCCTACGTGATCGCATGCCAAACTATTCTTGTATGGACTTCGATGCAAGAGTGCACGCGACACGGGGGCGCAGGGTAGCCCAAGCACATAATAGGCCAAGCGAAGGCGCTAGAAACCCTTACATGCCTGCGTGCAGGGGGAACGGTCAGGATCCACAGCAACGTGCGCAGAAAAAAACACGAGCTGACACGAAGAAGGAAAGCTCCTCAACCTATTCCACTACCTCATGCGTCGTCCCTCCACCCTCGGATCCTCCCCTTATCCTCACACAGTTGTGCACTACACATAAGGACATAGGGGCACACAATGTAGTTATCATACAGATAGATAATAAATATATAGAGAGAGAGAGAGAGAGGGAAAGAGAGAGAGAGAGAGAGATAGATAGATAGAGAGAGAGAGAGAGAGAGAGAAAGAGAGAGAGAGAGAGAGAAAGAGAGAGAGAGAGAGAGAAAAAAGGAAACACACTATACATAGAGAAAGAGAGAGATATCGAGAGAGAGAGAGAGAGAGAGAGACAGAGAGAGAGAGAGAGAGAAAGAGAGAGACAGAGAGAGAGAGAGAGAGAGAGAAAGAGAAAGAAAGAGAGAGAGAGAGAGAGAGAGAGATGAGAGAGAGAGAGAGTGGTATAGAGAAAGAGAGAGAGAGAGAGAGAGAGAGAACGCATCCTCGTCGTTGCCCGTGTACTGCCAATCACAAGTCAGCAACACATTCACACACATATGTATATGCATGCATATACATATATATATATGTGTGTATATATAAATATATGTTTATGTACATGTATATATATATATATATATATATAAATGTATATACATACACACTACATCCAAAGGGAACTGCGGAAACGCAGAAATCATCAATTGCCGTTCGGTATTCAACGATTTGGGGCCCTCGAAGGCTTCCTGGGTTCTTTTCTGGGGCCTTAACTGTGGTCTGCTGTGCAAGAATAGACAAGGGGCGACCTTGGACAAACAAACGGAATGGTGGGATTTCCCTTCTTTCAAGTTGTAGTGCCTGGGCTGGGGGTTATACGTTTTTCTGCATGCAGGCCATGGTCTGTTGGGATGCCTCTTGGGGTCGTCGTGCAAAAATAAGCAGGGGGTGAGTTAGACAACAAGGAATTCTTAAATTCCACTGCTTCAGCTCATGGGATCATGGGATCTCGATTTCTACAATGGTTTCAGGGGCAGCCAAGAGGACACGAAGACGATCCAAGAGAGTGCCAAGACAGCGTCAGCGAGTTCAACACCATTCCCGCAACATCTTTGCATGTGACCCCGAAGTCTTGATGGGGCTCGCAGAAGAGGATAGGGAGGAATCCCAACTTGAAAAACAAAGATTCTCTGGACTTCCCTCTCTTTTTTCTCTCAAGTTCCTCGGTCTTGGAGCGTTGGAAGCAGGAAAACGTGAGAAGGCGAAACAAGTCGACAACAGCCGCTGGAAAGCAACGATTTTACCTCTTCGGGCTCTCTCGGGACGGCTCTCGAAGCTCTCTTTGGCTGTTTTGGGGGCCTCGTCGGAGCTTTTTTGGGGGCCTTTCAGGGGTCTGGGGTGTGTTGGAGGCCTCTGGGGGGTCCCCGAATCCTCTCAGAGGTCTCTGGAGGCCTCCTGTTCCCGCTCTTGGGCTCATCTTGGGCCTGTTCTGGGGTGGTCTGGAGCTGTCCTGGTCGGCAGTCTTGGGGCCGTCTGGGCCCGTCTTGGGGACGTCTTGGGGTCCTCCTGGGCGGTCTCGGGGCGGTCTTGGGGGCCTCTTCGGCCGTCCTGGAGCGTTGGAAGCATGAAATGATGAGAAGACGAAACACCCTGAAAACAAACCATGCAAATTAACGATTTTAGGTTCTCCGGGCGCTCTCGGGAGGCCTCTGAGCTCTCTTGAGGTTTTTCCCCATATCCTAAGATGGGGTTCTTGTTATTACTTGGACGCCTCCTACTCCTTCTTCTTCTCCTCCTCCCCTCTTCTCGTCTCCTCCTACTTAGACTCACTCATACTCAGATTCACTCATACACAGACTTACTCATACACAGACTTACTCATACACAGACTCACTCATACTCAGACCTGATCACATTAACTTACTCATACTCAGACCTACTCATACCCAGACCTACTCATACTCAGACTTACTCATACTCAGACTTCCTCCTTCTCCTCCTCCTTTTACTCAGAGTTCCTCATACACAGACTTACTCATACTCAGAATTACTCATACTCAGACCTTCTCATTGTCTGACTTATTCGATAAACAGCAGATTGCGAGGATGTCTCAGGCGGGGCGCTGGTTTCAGCACCCCTAAGGGGAGCCGCCGAGGGGTGTTGCACGGTCCCGTTCGCGGCCGTTTTGTGGGGATGTCTCAGGCGGTTTGCCTGTTTGTCTTGCCAACATCCTTCGCTTTCGGAGCAGATTTGGAGGATGTCTCGAGCGAGGCGCTCATTTTCACCCCCCAGGTGGGCCAGATTTTGAGGATGTCTCGATCGGTTTGCTTGTTTTGGTGGCCAGGCTCGTGGCCCTAAGGGGAGCCGCCAGGGGTGTTGCACGGGCTCGTTCGCGGCCATTTTGTGGGGATGTCTCAGGCGGTTTGCTTGTTTCTGGGCCCAACATCCTTCGCTTTCGGAGCAGATTTGGAGGATGTCTCGAGCGAGGCGCTCATTTTCACCCCCCCCAGGTGGGCCAGATTTTGAGGATGTCTCGATCGGTTTGCTTGTTTTGGTGGCCAGGCTCGTGGCCCTAAGGGGAGCCGCCGAGGGGTGTTGCACGGTCCCGTTCGCGGCCGTTTTGTGGGGATGTCTCAGGCGGTTTGCCTGTTTGTCTTGCCAACATCCTTCGCTTTCGGAGCAGATTTGGAGGATGTCTCGAGCGAGGCGCTCATTTTCACCCCCCAGGTGGGCCAGATTTTGAGGATGTCTCGATCGGTTTGCTTGTTTTGGTGGCCAGGCTCGTGGCCCTAAGGGGAGCCGCCAGGGGTGGTTGCACGGGCTCGTTCGCGGCCATTTTGTGGGGATGTCTCAGGCGGTTTGCTTGTTTCTGTGCCCAACATCCTTCGCTTTCGGAGCAGATTTGGAGGATGTCTCGAGCGAGGCGCTCATTTTCACCCCCCAGGTGGGCCAGACTTTGAGGATGTCTCGATCGGTTTGCTTGTTTTGGTGGCCAGGCTCGTGGCCCTAAGGGGAGCCGCCAGGGGTGGTTGCACGGGCTCGTTCGCGGCCATTTTGTGGGGATGTCTCAGGCGGTTTGCTTGTTTCTGGCCCAAATCCTTCGCTTTCGGAGCAGATTTGGAGGATGTCTCGAGCGAGGCGCTAATTTTCACCCCCCAGGTGGGCCAGACTCCAGGAGGCCCCAGGAGACCACATGAGGTACCAGGAGGCATCAGGAGGCCACAGAAAGACTCAAGAGGCCACAGGATGTCCCAAGAGGCTCCAGGAGGCCCCAGGAAGCTCCAGAAGGCCTCAGGAAACCACAGGAGGCCCCAGGAGGCAACAGGAAGCGCCAGGAGGCCTCGGAAGGCAACAGGAGGCCCCGAGAGGCCCCAGGAGCAGGAGGCCTCAGAAGGCAACAGGAGTGGCTCCAATCCCATGTGTTTTACGTATGCTCCTATCGATTGGGCCTCACCTGGAGCACGATTCTTTGATGTTCTACGTATGTTTCTATAGATGGTCCTTCTCTTGTGTACACAATCCTAAATGTTTTACTCATGTTCCTATATATTGGGCCTCTCCTGGGGCACGAATCCTTGGTGTTTTACGCGTGTTCCTATAGATTGCCCTTCTCCTGTGGCTCTAATCCGCAATGTTTTATGTACGTCTGTTGCTATAGATTGCGCCTCTCCTGGGGCACGAAACCTTCCTAGGAGGTCCCAGGAGGTCCCAAGAGGCTCCTGGAGACCCCAGGAAGCCCCAGTAGGTTTCAGGAGGCCCCAGGAGGCCCCAGGCTCATGCACAGAGACGCGCTCGTACTACTGAGGCTCATTCACACTCCAATTCATTCGCAGTTAGATTGATGTCCAGACCGTC